TTTAATAGACCTTTTGAGATGTGTGTCAAAGATGGTGATGTTAGTAGTGTTATGTGCTCTTTTAATCGTGTCAATGGCATTCCAACTTGTGCTGATGCTTATCTTTTGAAAAAATTAGTCAGAAATGATTGGAATTTACATGGGTATTTAATGAAACTTATTTCTATAATTTATAAATATTAATTTATTTTAATAAAATTAATCTTTTAACATATTATTTTTTTTATTTTAGATATGTAGTAGCAGATTGTGATTCTGTCCACGAAATCGTGACAAATCATAAATGGCTCAATGACACAGTTGAAGAAGCTTCGGCTCAAGTGCTAAAAGCAGGCTTGTATCCTCTATCACTTTTAATGACTGGACCTTTTTAATTGATATCCTAATTAAATTTTTTAATTATGAATTAGGTATGGATTTGGATTGCGGAAGGTCCTACCTGAAGCTTGTAGACGCAGTGAAGCAAGGGTTAGTTAAAGAGGCCGATATGGACAAGTCACTCAACTACCTTTATGTAGTATTGATGAGGCTTGGGTGGTTTGATGGAATTCCGTCTTTGGTATCACTTGGCAAAAAAGATATGTGCACAGAAGAAAATGTCGAATTGGCAGCTGAAGCAGCTAGAGAAGGGATTGTGCTTCTTCAGAATGATAATGAAACTTTGCCATTAGACCCTACAAAGTTTAAATCTTTTGCACTAATTGGGCCACATGCCAATGCGACTAATGTAATGAAAGGAAATTACGCAGGTTGTACCCTGATCCAACATTAGCAAATTTTTTATACTTTGTTTATTTAACTAAAGATATTTATATATACCTTTCAATTTCTCTGCAGGGTTTCCATGCAAGTTTATTACTCCAGTTGAGGGTTTTTCTGCATTTGGAGAAGTAACTTATGAATTGGGATGTCTTGACGCGATATGCCCGAATGATACCACCATACAATCAGCCGTCAATATCACCCAAAACGCAGATGTTACTTTTCTTTTTGTAGGGTTAAGTACAGGCATAGAGGCTGAATGGCGTGATCGAAAAGATCTTCTCCTTCCTGCTAATCAAACTCTTCTAGTCAATAAAGCTGCTGAAGCTTCAAAAGGACCAGTTATTCTTATCATCATGGCTGCCACTGGAATTGATATTTCTTTTGCTAAAAACAACCCCAAAATCAAGTCCATCTTATGGGTTGGATATCCTGGTGAACAAGGTGGTCGTGCTATTGCTGAAGTTGTTTTCGGAAAATACAATCCTGGTAATTTTCAATTTTTTTATTATTTGGCTTAATAATTTAAAATTAAGCTATAATCTTTTGGTTCTTACTTAATTTCTATTATACATGCATTTGCACTAATCAGGAGGAAGGTTGCCAATTACATGGTACGAGAATAACTACGTTGATAAATTCCCAATGACATCCATGGCTTTAAGGCCAGTCGGTGACTATCCTGGAAGAACGTACAAGTTCTTCAATGGCTCAACAGTTTACCCTTTTGGTTATGGATTAAGTTATACGAGCTTCAAATACGAGTATAAGTCTACAGATATGTCTCTCGACATAAAATTGAATAGACTTCAACATTGTCAGGACTTGCCTTATAATGATACAAATTACATGCAAAATTGTTCTTCAGTTTCGATTGATGATTTAACATGCAATGACGAAATTACCTTTGAAATCACGGTACAGAATGTGGGGTCTAGAGATGGAAGTGATGCTGTTTTGGTGTACTCTGTCCCTCCTGAAGGAATTGTTGGAACTCCTTTTAAGCAAGTGGTTGGATTTGAAAGGGTTTATTTACAAGCAGATGAGAGCGTCAATGTCAAGTTTGTGCTTAATGTTTGTCAAAGCCTGAACATTGTTGATGTCTCTGGTTATAGACTTTTACCATCTGGTTTGCATAAAATTGTGGTGGGAGATAACGCGATATCAATTCCAGTCAAAATTAGTTATAGTCAATAGTAATTGAGTTATGATTTAGGTAGGATTTAGAAATTTATTTTTTCGATAAAGTTAAATGTAAAAACTTACTTCGGTAAGTTGTTTGAGTGAATAAAAGATTTTATCTCTATGTGCTTATAACTTGTAGAATTAATTTTAATCAGGAGTTTGTAGTATAATATAACAAATAAGTGATGATTACCTTGATTCCATGGCATGGCTAGCTGCTATATTCTTTAAAAGAAATCTCATCTCCAAATATTTTAAATAATTAGTATATATATAATTTACAAAAGATGAAGGTAATCTCAAAAATCTACTTGTAGTTGATATATATTCTTCTTGAGAATCGGCAATGCCATGATTCATAATTAAGGTTTGATTTTTGGAAAGCCGATCTAACAAACCTGGGTCAAAGCGTCAATATTATTATCTCCAAAACCATTGTAAATTGTTAATTTCAATCTATAGATTGATATGACCAAAGGATGTATTATTTCCAGATATGCTTGTTTACCAATTTGGTTCCATATCTCTCGAACGAATGAGTCTTGAAGAAGAGAAACCTTCAAATGAGAATAACCTGTGGTCTGAAATGAACTAGGTTGTCAGCAAGAAGCCATATATAATGTTCCATACAGAAGCAAGTGCAAAAGAACAAAGTTCATAACTAGCCTGCAGAATCTTCTGGATAGCAGGCAATACTGATGCCTTTACTGCTCCTGGAGTCAAACATTTTATGAATTCTTTCAGCAGTATGAATCATAATTATATTTTTTAATAAAATTATTTAAAGGTAAATCTCATAACACGTAATTAGTCTTTACATGCACTAAAAAAATGAAATTAATATTAAGAACAAGATATTATAAAGATCATTATTTTATATCCTTCACCAATTTTTTCTTTCTTTTTTAAAATTAAAAAAAACAGTTATATTTCAATGGAAAGTGCCTGCAAATTATTTTGATTTAGCCCATTAGCACTGGGTATGAATTATTATAAAGCCTAGAACATAAGACATGGTCTAAAATCTAATACTTGTCTCTCTTTTTTTTATTTTGAAAAGAAATACTTATCTCTTAATATGGGAAAATGCACAGAAACACGTTAATTTTGTACTGGATTATATGCAAACAGCATAGATTTGATTCCCATTATCATACACTTATACTTGCAATTTGTAGCTAATCAATTCTGTTTAATGGGATATAATTCTGTTTATAATCAAAGTTACATTCCCCATTAGCATTACAACCCCGATACGAAGCTGCTAAAGATATGTATTCTTATCTGGTTTTCTATCCACCTAGTTAGTTTTTTTAAGTTGATAATATCAATCTACAAGGAAGTTTAGCCATCATCACTTCTCTCCTGTATTTATCCGCCAACAAATAATTAATTGACCAAAGAGCTTCCAAAATCACAAATAGGTGTAATATTATTAGGAATAGGAACAAAACTGAAGTCGGCAAAAAACCTACCAATTTATTCCTAGAAATTTATTTTTGTAAGATTCGACAGTCTAATTTATTTCTAATTTAAGCAGTTAACTTATTTTTAGGTTAGGCAAAAAAATAAATGCAAAAATGTGCTCTACGACTCTAAAAGATATTTCATCTCAATCTATCTTCTCAATTCGATCTAATCAGTAAATAATGTCATCTAACAATCTGCTTTGGATAACAATTAAGATAATTTCAAATTAATTATATATGCCATACTGCACGAGTATAAATATGGGAGCCCATCATTACTTTCATATGGTAGTAGAATAGAGCATAACAATGGCTCAAAAAATGTTATTTATCCTTCTTCTTTCTCATATTATGCTTTGTTTCTCAGTTGTTTCTTCTTTAAATCTAAATGCAAGTCTGATTGATGATCTGGGAGTACCTAAATTCAATCATATTTGTGACCCCGATAGATTCAATATGCTTGGCTTCGATATGGCTGAATTTGCGTTTTGTGATAAATCTCTTCCATACGAGGTTAGGGCCAAAGATCTAGTAGACCGAATGACCTTGGCTGAGAAGGCCGACCAAATGGGACATGGCACCAGTGTTGGTATCCCAAGGATAGCATTACCACCATACAATTGGTGGTCCGAGGCGCTACATGGCGTCTCTAATACTGGACCCGGCACTCACTTTGACT